CAGAAATCCACTTTGGGGAACCCGACCCTCCTCAGAGGGGAGCGGGATTTAATGTTCAGTTCATTTTGGGGTTTTTACTGAAAGTCTAAAAAAACATTCAGAGTCTTATTTTAATCACTGAAGAACGAGAAGCTCATTGAAACAGCCGAGCCAATCACAGCGAGGTGTGACGAGTGAACTTTAGTGTCCTCAGTCTGATCTGACAGGCTCCTGTGGCTCACCTGGTCTTCACCTGCTAATTAGACTCACACCCCCACATGCTGACGTGTGGGTGGACAGAGACACGTTTTCACCCCTTCCTCTGAATGACGGACTCTTTCTTCTCTTTCCCGCTTCGTGCTTCTGATTGAAGCTGAGCTCGGCTGAGTTCAGCCTCAGTCTGTCCCTGGCTCTCTGCAGCAGGAGGCCCTCTGTTCAAAGGCACTCCACCCACCTCTCCGTCCTCTGTGCTCTCTGTAGCATGAACAGCGTGCAGCAGTTAATGCATACCGTATCAGATGGGGGGGGGGGGGTTACTGGTGACTTTGCCACTGTGGGGGTTTGTCACCGATAATTACAACTGAAGCCCAGCAGCTTTCACACAGAGAGGTGGCGAGACGTCAGACAGACCCCCCCCCACTGACGAGCTCTGACAGCTGCTCTCATGTTGCTTCATTTTGAATGAATGTTGGCGCCCGCTGTGCAGCAGTCGGAGGGCGAGGGGGATGTTTAGTCGCAGCGACGCAGGGATCCATCAGGAGCTGGATCTGAAGGGGTCGACCCCCCAGTGAGGCTCCGTGTGTGTCTCTGAACCCAGCAGTGGTGGAGAGTAACGAAGTACATTTACCAAAGCACTGTAGCTTTGAGGTTCTTGTACTTTATATATCTGATATCTTCAGTTACTTTGCAGATTCAGATGAATAAAACCCAATATAATCCTGATGAAGCTGCAGAATATAAAGTCACTAACAAGAGCTCCAACTTTAAAGTGATGAACACATGAATGCATCAGTAATTATAATCCAGGAATATGATGTTGTACTTTTTAATAAACTACATTTATCTGACAGCTTTAGTTAGTTTACAAATTCAGATAATTGTCAGAAAATGAATCATTTCAGCTTCTCCCATGAAGATCTGCTGCTTCTTTTTTAATTTATTTGTTAAGAACGTTGATCTTTGGACTGCTGGTTGTGAAGGCGTCTCTTTGGGCTCTGGGTAACTGTGACGGCAGAATCTTGACAAACCAAACAATCAATGGATTGATGGAGGAAATAATCAGCAGATTGATCCAGAATGAAACGAACCATCAGCTACAGTCTGAAACTAAACAGTTCAGAATGAGCTGCAGCAGCAACATCCTGCTTTACTTTAATGAGGAGGAAAAGAATCTGAGGAGGAGATGTAGTAGGACAACAGGGACATTTTCCTGTGACCTCACACTGCTGAACAACACAATCATCTGGACTAAAAACAGAATGCAGCATGAAATCAGGATGCACTCAGAGTCAGAAGGGTGAGTTTGTGCAAACCTGCGAGCTTGTTTATGTGTGTAGGTTTATTTGTAGGTAGGTATGTGTGTGTGCTCTGCAGGGAGCTGCAGGATAATTGAGCCTTCAAAGATCTTCAGATAAAAGCAGAGTGACTCTCTGCTGCCTCCCCTCAGCTCTCACCATCCTCTGACAGATGCATACTGGGAAGTCTTTGAAGTGAACGGTGGGTGTTACCGACCCTCGAGGCTCGTCTGAAGGTCTTCCGCTGAGCTCCGGTGTTTGAACAGGACGGAGCTGCTGGAGTCGTTTCACTGAAACTGCTGCTTTATGTCACAGATGTATTTTTACTCTGTACTTAGCTTATATGTATTTAAAGCAGCACCATGTGACACCCACAGGTGCTCTGTCACTTATCTCACCGGTCCAGACCCTCCTCAGGTCTGCAGACACACCTACTGTAGAGGGGCAATTTACACCTTTATGCTTCTTAGAAGCCGAATTCAGACAGGACTGATATTTGTGGGATGTTGAGTCCTCACCTGCAGATGGACAGGTCCATGGGACAGACAACACTCTAGATTTGAATCATCATTTATTATTTTTTTTCCCCCAAAAATTAATTCCGATCTCGTCCCATCACTAAAATCTTGTCTTTTAGGATCAGACCTCCTGATTTGTGCTGTGTTTCGTTATGACTGGTGGTTCAAATCCTACCTCTCGGGGCGTTTCCTCAATGTTTTGTGGCAAGGACAATTATCCTTCTTCCCCTGCCTCTCTCCCCAAGGCTCAGTGCTTGGGCCCCTTCTCTTCTCAATTTACCTCACTGGGGTCGATCATTCACTCACACGGCTTCTCTTACCACTGCTACGCAGACGATACGCAACTCTACCTATCCTTCCCGCCAGACGATCCCACTGTCTCGGCGCGGATCTCAGATTGTCTATCAGACATGTCTGCATGGATGAAGTCTCGCCAACTTCAACCAAACCTCTCTAAGACTGAACTCTTGGTCATTCCAGCCAAGCAATCTATCCACCATAACATCAAACTACAAACTGCCTCCTCAACCATCACTCCAACCAGGGTGGTGAGAAACTTCATGATTGATGACCAGCTGTCCTTTTCAGACCATGTTGCTACTGTCTCTCAGTCGTGCCGCTTTGCTCTATACAACATCAGAAAAATCACCAGTACACCACCCAGCTGCTGGTACAGGCCATGGTTACCTCTCTGTCCTCCTAGCAGGTCTTCCAGCTTGTGCAGTGAAACCCTAACAAATGGTTCAGAACTCAGCAGCCCGTGTGGTTTCTGATCAGCCCAGAAGGACTTATGTCCCTCCATTACTCAGTGACCTCCACTGGCTCCCCGGTGCCTCCAGAATCAGATCCAAGTCCCTGATGCTTCATACAGAGCTACTACCTGGTCTGCACCATCTACCTAAACTCCATAATCCAAGCCTACATTCCTTCTCGGCCACTACGCTCCTCCAACGAACGCCGCCTGGCTCTGCCATCCCTTTACACAAAGCGACCTCAGTCCCTGTTCTCATCTGTGACACCACGATGGTGGAACGAGCTACTGTCCGCCTCTGGAGCAACTAGGGGTTAAGTGTCCTGTTCAAGGACACATTGGTGTCTCACAGTGGATTCAAAGCCGGGTCTCTCACCAAAGGCATGCGTCTTATCCACTGCGCCATCACCACCCAGATCTACTTGGGGAACCAGCGCTCTAACTAAGTGAGCTATACTGGCTGCCTCTGATAACACCTCGAACCTCTAACATGCACTTTCTGTGCTTTTCTTCTTCTATCCCCTTACAGTTACCTTGTATTGATTGCACTTTCTGTAAACTCTAACTTCTTTCCCTAGGTATTTACCCCATTGATGCGATATGTGCTAACAGCTCTTACTAGTATTTATTGCTGCTTTTATTTATATGTCTTGTCAGTTGGAGATCTCGCGCTGTATTTCATGCTCTGTTGATGCTTGTATGTTGTTCCTCAAATGTAAGTTGCTTTGGATAAAAGCGAAGAGATGTCAGATGAGTAAATGTAAATGTAATGAGCAGAAAGAATTTCCCTTCGTGGACAACAAAGGAAATTTGATCTGATCTAATAAACTGAGCCGAAGCCTTCGTCACACTCAAACCCTGCTGAACCCCGAAGACCTCGCTGCTCCTCGACAGCTTCAACCGCTCAAACTGGATAAAAATAGTAAATCTGCCAATTAGATTCTGTGCAGAGGAAAGAGTCTGTGTTTGACTCGTGAGGCGTGTCCTCGCAGCTGAATGTGGATCGGGGGAAGAATGGGATGAAATGAAATGAAACTTTTTATTGATCCCTGAGGGGGAACTCATGAGATTCCGTCTGTTTCTCTTTTTAAAGGTTCCTGCTGAAAGCTGACGGACAAGTTCTGTTGGAAAGTTTAAAAATCTTGAGTAGAAACGGAATATGATGCTTTAAATATTGAAATAACAGAAATGGAAATATTCGGCATCACTTTAGACAGATTCCCCCTGAAATGCAGCCTGACAGGTTTAAGATCTTTATGAGCCAGCTGAGTGAAGACCATGAGATGCTGCTGAAAGCTCTCAACCTCTTCAATGTGTAAAAAGATTTTAAAATGTACTACGTATGCCATCATGCATACTTTTTCCAGTTCTTGTGTATGTCATTTGTTTGTTATGTTTTGTATTCACTGTCCTTTTATCAGCTGGTCTTTGTTTAGCGGCAGTTTCTTTTCATTTTGTGTTTATACATTTATATATATTTTGTCTTCATATCATTGCATTCCTAGTACCTAATAAGTCAAAAGGCCGAATAAATTTGACCGAACAATTGCGTTGCCATGTCGACAGTGTGGAAGCATTTAAAAGTGTCCGAGACACTGGTCTGATCTGTGGCTGACTTCTTAGAAAAGAACCTTTCAAGCCTTTACGGTAAATCCAGTCCAGCCCAGAGCGAGCTGACAGGCAGGTTAGAGACTTTATCATGTCAGTTTGTCTCTTTAGTATGAAGAGAGGCTGTGAAGTCTTCATGTTACGCCGTACGAGAACCACATACAACATTATTTATCAAACCGGGTCGGACTGGATGAATTTAGCGCGAGGAGGAAACACATGTGACAACGTCCGTTGTTCAAAATAAGGCGTCTGTACAGGATGGAAATAAGATTAGCTGGATTATATTCACAGAAAGTATAAAACATATTACATGTGTCCATTAAAAGGATACAGACTCATGTAATTTACTTTACCGGACCCTCTCGGGCCCCCGGGCCCCCCCACCATAGTCTCTCCACATCTTGTGGGAAACATGGAGGAAAAAGCTCATTTTGACTATTTAAGTTATGCAATGGGAAAAAAATTGATTAATTTAAAAAAAGTGAAAAACCTTATTCGATATTTGGGAAAGTTTTTCATCATATTCGGTTTCGGCTTCGGCCAAGAATTTTCCTAACGGTGCGTCCCTAATATAAATGTATTATTATTGTCATGGATGACGGACATTGCTTAAAGGCGTTCACTGACCTGATGAAGAAGGCGGCTGCAGCAGACGGCGGGTGGCTGGTCTGGGTGGCGATGCTGTGAGCTGCTGGTTTAACGTCAGGACTCGGATACTTCATGGTCTCATAAACTCCCTCTGAAGTCAGACCCTGACAGACGAGACACGGGAGTTAGTTAACCCAATGTAAACTCCAGGGCTGATACCGAATAGTCGAAGATTCGATGCTTCGATGGGCGGAGCCTGATTCGACTGTCAATCTCACAGTCGAAGCTCCGCAGTGAAACAAGGATCACGCCATAGCAAACTCTTAACTGTGTATTATGACATCTGCCGGCCGCAGTGGCGTTGGGACAAACCGCCAGTCGTGCTGATCGACACTGGGGACGATTAAAGGATTGGATAACTGAATAATGATGAAGTATAGAGCTTTTCAATGGAAAAGGAGCCGCTTCAAAATGAAGACGCTCCTGGATGACGTGGTACCACCAAGAAGTACCAAGTGTTTCTCTTTAAATACTACAATACCCATGAGCCTCAGCTGCTGTGTAAATGGAGAAAGAGCCAGTCAGAGGAGTGAATCAGTTTAAACATGTTAGCATGGTTTCTGAATGAATCCAGAACTGATCCAGAATCAGAAACTGATTCATTTCAGCTGCAGATTGTAAAATGTTTCGGTCTGCTAGTTTCTGATCTGCCTGATGTGTTTTCTGTATTTTGCTGTTCTGTCTAGAGGAGTCTGGGAAATGTAGTTTTATAGGAAGAGTCCAACATGTAGATCGGCCAGCACAGCTATAGCTTAGCTTAGCACACAGATTGGAAGTAGAGGGAAACTGCTAGCGATCCTTCAGAAGAGAAAGAATCCACCTTTTGTGTCTGGATTCCACCTTTAGAAGGATCGACTCCTCTGGTTTCTGTACGGTGACGTTCAGTTAATGTTTATATATTTACGCTTTGCTAGGAACTGTCCTCTAACAGGGACGAGGCCGGGCAGATCCCAGAGGACAACACGGAGGAGGAAGTTATTAACTAATTAGCTCGGTCATTAGCCGCCTCGCTACCATCCAAACTTCCCTTTCTGCTTCATCACAAAATGGCTGCTGAGTCAAGAACTGAAGGCTTTCTGCTGGCTCGCTGAAGCTAATGGCTAATCCCTCTGGGCAAGCTAATGACCGGACGGCACAGAGGACCTGCTGTTCTGCTAAAGTCAGAATCTAATAAAGAGTTTGTAATGTTTTATTGTACACCTGCAGGATTCTATGTAACAAGCTGTTTTTCTACATCAGTGTCAGAGCGCTGCAGCGACACAAACGGTAGGATCATTAGTTTATTAACTGCATCCTTCAGAGCGGCTCTGTCCTCGTTCTGTCAGGACGCAGGCCGATTCCAATGCTCTCTCTTCTTTTTAACAGTTTTTTTTTCTCTGGGCTGAGATCTGGCCTGGTTACGGTGGATTACCTTGGTAACAGGAAGCGGCAAACGGGGAGTCCATTATTCAGCTGTTTGCCCGGGACACGCTCTGCCAGCTAACAGGATTACACAGAGAGCTGCCGGCAGGACGAGCCCGCCGCCAGAACACAAGCCAGAGCGGCGCAGCGACCGGTTTGGTTCATGCTGTCTGAGTCCAGTAACAGGAAGAGTTTCGGTTTGGTTTCTGACTGCAGCAACAAACAGCTGGGTGGGTCGTTTGTTTAGTTTAGTGCAGCTTGGTTAATGTTTTTGGTTTATAGTTATATATCTGGTATGCGGCCTTTTGGCCTGATTCCATTTAGCTTCGTCTGGTTGGGTCTGTTGCATCCAGATGAGTTCAGGTTGTTTCGCTGCAGTTCGTTTGGTGTCAGCTTGTGTGGTTGGTGTTGGCCGCTCTGTGAGTCAGCTCTTTAGGTTCATGCCAAACTGCAGCTTGTGTCTCCCTCTTGGCTGCTGGCAGAGTAATGAGCTTAGTGCCACCTGTTCCTGGTCCTGGATCAGTTTCTGTGTCTGCAGATACATTTTGCAATCTTGCACCTACAGCTCCTCTAAAGGGGAAGAAACGAGTGAAACACATGACGACGATTTCACAGCATCTAACACGACATATTCACCTTCTCTGACTGGAATCATGTACACATCTATATCTATGTCTATACACGCTACATCTTTGGCATTTCTTTACTTTCATTTCTTGTCATTTACCGTCCAACATAAACGCAGATACTTAGATATACTGACATTACTACACATAATAACTGCTAACATCCAAAACAATGATCATAAATCAAATAATCTTCAGTGTGTGTTTCCTCAGAGCTCTGTTCGGCCTCTCTTTATCTAGATTCCCTCGGTGATTCCGGTGAGGACGATCTGTTGTGTGTTTGTAGAGCTGAAACTCTGAAAGCTTCCCCGGCTCACTGCAGGTTTCTGTTTCAGTTCTCGAGAGGATCAGAGGCGACTGAAGAGGTTGTGGTTTCTCTCCATGTGCTGAGGGGATTAATGAGGTGGAGAATGAAGACGCGGCTTCCTGCAGCGGTTGGAGGGTTTACCGGCTGCACTCATCCCACATTAACAGCTGTTCCACCAAAACCACGAGTCTGCAGCGCTGCCACCCACAGGAAGCACGAACCTAATCTCGTTTCACCTGAACTGCTGAATTCTGGGAAATGGAAAAGTGAGTCTAAGTCACAGTTGGACTTAAAGGATTTGACTGGCAGTTTTTATAGATGCAGTATTTCCTGAAGGTAACACTGCCTGCAAGTCAACCTTCAGGGTAAAAGTGTCTCCTCTTTAAAGAAGTTAAGAAGAAGAAGAAGTTTGATAAGTAGAGATTAAAAGGTCCATCTGTCACTAAAGACTCCATTACCCACGATGCTTTGCAGTGCGTTCAGTAAAGCTTTGTTGTTGCAGCTAATTTAGTTCATTAAATTTTATTTCAGATTCACAAAAGCAGAATCAGGGATGTGTTTTAAGGTCTCTGTGCCTGTCGGCCTGTCAGCCCTCGGTGGGGGTCACAGTGTGCGGTTTACCGACAGTCCATTTATAATGATGTCACAGCGGTCAGGGTGTAAGGACGGGTCGCTGGTGTCAGGAAAGCGGCCCAGGTGATCTATCCACACTGAGCTTCATGAATTATGTAACAGCTGGAGGTCACGATGGTCATCTGGGATTCTCAGAGCGACGACAGGAGACGGATCGTCTGCAGCTCTGAACAACAGCAGGAGGTGAAGGAGTCACCGGGACTCGGCCGCTGTTATCCAAGCAAGGATCAAATCTGTCGTCACAACGTCCAGGAGCACCAACGAACCGAGAGGTGTCGCCTTCATAACGAGCCCACAGGGGTCAAATAGCCAGGACTCTCTGTCAGAACTGAAGAAGCCTCTTGGAGGAGACTCGAGTACCAGCTGCCCCTGATTTTACTTTTTAACAACACGTTTTGTTGAAAAGATTCTCAGACACAGATTATTGTTCGCAGCAGATAACTGTTAGACGTGTTAAAACACGTCTTCAGTCAGAAACGAGCAGCCGTGTAGAGAAAGATCCTGTCACCTCCTCCTGTGGTGTGACGTCTGCAGGCATCTGATCAATAACCCCCCCTGCACCGACCTCAGGTTAGATTTGCTTCTGTAATCACGGCTCATTGATCTGCTGCTGTCTACAAAGGCAACACAGTAACTGTTGGGCCTCATAAAGTGAACATTAAAGTTCCCCGTGTCCTCCGGCTGCTCTGCCTCGACTCTCTGGGATTTATGGAGGTTGCTGACGAACAGAAAGTGTCACTTGTTGCTAAAGTTACCGCGGCTACTAGCTGCTGTTATATAATTAGCCAAGTGGTCATCAGAATCAGCCCGGACTGGGAGCTCAGAGCACCAGGGGAGAGTTTTGTGTTTGACGTTACACCTCTGCTCAGGCACTGGAGGTTTTCAGGCCGGGAAAACGTCAGATAGCGGCGTCCTACAACCGGAGCCAAGCGGCGGTCAACAAAACTGCGCTCAGGAGCCTCCCAGTAAACACGGCGTGAGGGGGACCGAACACAGAGACCAACAGGGAACACAGTACCGAGGTGATTTAAAGAGTTTGGTGATGATACATTTACTTTTTGATAAACCGCTAACTGTATGTTTAGCTAGTTAGCTGAGTTAGCCGTGCTGCTAGCTGTCCTTTATTAGCTGAGTCCGCCCCGGGGTGCAAAGACTCAAACCCGGCTAAAAAACCAACTCGGTCCTGTATTCCCTGTCATCAAACTGACCTCTGCTGCTCTCGGAGGCTGTGTTCAGTCCCGAACCTCCAAAATGAAAATAAATCGTGACATGATGTTTTTGCCATATCGCCCACCCGTAGATTAGGGCTCCGCGGTCAAGTTAGCAACGCTTGGCAACAATAAATATGCAACGTCCAGTTACACTTTCAAAATAAAACGCTAGCAATTCGAAACCGCCATTTTGAAACGGCACATTAAAGTAAAGTCGTGAAACGCTGGTTGGTTTAGGCACCAAAACTACTTGGTTAAGAAAAAGATCCTGGTTTGGGTTAAAATAACTACGTAGGTCAGTTAACACGTAAGCTAACTTACGTATCTCGCGTAACTTCAATAAAAATATTTCTTGTTGACTTATGTGTTTCACACGGGACATGAACCCTGGTCTCCTGGTCCTGGTTCAAAGTCGGGGTTCCACTCCGACCACCTGTTGACTCAGTCTTTTCTGTTCTGTTAAAGTTAGATGATGAATATTAGCGTCAGGTCAGAGCTGTGAACCTCTGAACATCACTGCTACTGTTTATATCTGAAAGTGTTTTAAATCCCTTTCCATGCAGTTTGTCCCTCCCCGCTTACCGTAGTCTGTTCAGGTCTGCAGCAGGAGACTCTCCAGACTCCCTCCAGGTAGTGATGTGCGTTCAGAGGGAGGGGCGTGACTGTGGCCAGCCCCGTGGCCCCACCCCCTCCCAGGTAGGTGCTCTGAACTCCGCCCCATCCCCACGGAGCCACGCCCCCTTGCTGCTCGTCATACGACCATCTCTGCTGCTTCACCGGCAGCTCCTCGCCCCCCCAGCTGCTGTCTGAGGCCGGCCGGGTGGCGGTGGGAGTTGGCGGTGGTACACCTTGGGAGGCGGGGCGAGGCGTCATCTCCCTGCTGAAGCCCAGAGCGCGTCGCAGAGCGAGGCGTCTCAGATGGTGGAAGGCGGCGCCGCAGACATCACAGCGAGCGTCCACTGAAGCATGGCGGCCACGACGAGGCCACTGGAGGCGCTGCAGCTTATCGAAGAGGAAGGAGGCGTAAGCCGGGTCCTGAGGAGAGAAGGGGGGAGAGGGTTTTTAAGGTTAGAGCTGGAATTCATCGTCTTCCTCTCCTCAAACATGAATAACTTCCTGTCAGTGCTGCGGCGTTAAAGAAGAACTGAGACGGCAGCTTTTTAAACGACGCCATGAGAGCGCTGAGATGGACCAGAACAGGAAGCTGCAGCCGGACAGATAAACAACAAACACTTTGTTTCCATCTAACTGTCAAGCAAAGTTTAAGCAAACTTTTGAAAAGTTGCAAAATCATGAATCAGGCGTTTCTGTCAGCTGTTCGGCGACACAAAGTGTAGTTTGTCAGAAGTTAACGTTACTCAAGGCTGCAAACAGTAAACAAAACTGATGATGATGACTGTGAGGAACATGGAGAGACGTCCTCAGGAACGTGTTTCTCTTTGCTCTTTCATGTTTCATGCTGTCCGGAGACGAAGAAACAGCTCAGCGTCAGTCATGAGAGTCAAAACTACTTCAGCAAAAGTGTTTCCATTACCTCCTTTTCCAAAAAGGCCGTTTAAAATCTCACGTGAGAGTAAAAGTTTTCTAATGAGATCATTAAAAATGTTGAAGGAAACAGATTCAGCTGCTGATTCTTGAACGCGTTCATTTTATTATCTGTGTTATTGGACAAATAGTCATGATAGAAGATTTAAATATGTTTCTTTGATACAGCAGAGAAACAGTAACAGCAGAAGAACCAAGACAAACAGAAGGAAACAGATTCATGAACTTTATTTTAATGCTACATCATGGTGTCCTCTGCAGACGGACGGAAACACAAAGAGGACATTTGACAGTAAAAAGCAGTAGGTTGGTTCTGTGTGTCTGAGTGTGTAAATGTTGTTCTTCTGTTGTTCAGGCGTCTCTACTGAACCACCCGGAGACAGTTAGTGAGGACGCCAGGTTTTATCACACAGACAGCTTCACCGAGCAGCTGTCCTGCATCTTTAACGCTTCACTCGCTGCGAGCAGGAGGAATCAGCACACACGTCATAAACCGGGGAGTTTTCCATGAAAGAACTTTTCCTGCAGCAACAAAGAGAAAAGACTTGTGGAAGTTTTGCTGAGAACAGACTTTACGACCCAGCTGCTGCTCACTGTCGCCCACACAGACTCTCTCCTTTACAAACTCTCTCTCTCGCTCCTCTACGGCAGCAGCAGCAGGACATAAAGCCGTCAGCAGAGTCTGCAGCAGATTTACAGTCCGGTCCGTGGGGAGCTGAGGTCAGAGGTCAGATCCACCACAGGTGTCGGCGTCGGATGACTTCACGTATGTGCTGGGATGCTTTACAGCCAATCGGCTGGAGGGCGGGGTTAAAGTCTGCCCTCTCTGTGTCGTCTCTTCAGGACTCGTACAGGTGGAGATCCTGCTCAGACCGTCAGCAGTGCACAGCCCAGAGTGTTAAACTGCACTGAGGTCAGTTTCAGGGTGAAGCCAGAAGCTGAAGCAGACAGGTCTCTCTGCAGCTGCGCCCTCGGTTTGACCTTTGACCTCTGTCTTTCTGCAGAGCAGCTGGCCGGAGGTCAAACAGCCACTTAGAGTTCTAGACGTCAGAACATCTCATCACAACTACGACAGAAAGGAAATGAACATGTTGCGCTTTGGAATGAAGAAGTCTCTGAAACTACCGAACAGATCCAGTGAGTTCTGGTGTCGAGTCGCTCCAAACTTTCATCGCCCCGATTTGCTTTTAAGATAAAGTCTTTGAAAAAGGCGTCACCAGCTGTTTCCAGCTGCTTCTGCTGTTGCCTCTGACACGAGTCACATGACTGAATGTAAATAAAGTGGAAACAAACGTTTGAGGAATAAAGAGGAGCAGACTGAAGACCTGATCATCTGGGAACACAAGGCTTCAGTTTAAAAAGTCCAGCTCCCAGAGTCCAGCTCCCAGAGTCCAGAGAGCTCCCAGAGTCCAGCTCCCAGAGTCCCGACAGCTCCCAGGGTCCCAGAGTTCCAGAGTGTGCCGGTCCTTTGGGTTTAAAGTCCTGAACACTGACTGAGAGCAGAGCTGCAGTCTGCCTCGCTCTTCTTCACTCTTTAAATCTTCCTTGTCAGCGGCGGTGACAGCGAGGCGTGGCAGCAGCTGTTAGCGTGTTGTTAGCATGCAGCTGTGGGCGACCTCTGCTGGCTGGTGGATGAAGACTGATGAAGGAGCGTGGCGTTGGATCAGGACGACGTTAGCGTTTCCTGTTTCCTGTGAGTTTAAAATGACAAATGTTTCTTTCTTTGAGGTGGAAACATGCTGAGCATCTGATCTGACTCTGAATCAAAGCGTTAGTCCTGATCAGGTCTCAGAGGTCCCGGCAGGTTCAGGTTCATAGAGTCAGGGATCAGGCCGACCTCAGCCGACGGCGGCATCAGTGATGAAGATCCTGCAGCTCCTCACAGGCTGAAATAACTCTGTAACCATCAGGTTTGACCGACTCTGAGGACGCAGACGGCGAGGACAGCGAGGACAGCGAGGACAGCGAGGACAGCGAGGAGACTCTAGCTCTCTTAGGAGAGGTTGGTCTGTGTTTCAAGTTTGCGGTTTTACTTTGTAGTTAGCTGCCCCTGGTGTCCTGGTCTGGTTTTACTTCCTGTGTATGTGGTCTTGTCTCTGGTCGGGTCACCCCGTGTTTCCTCTGGGTCTTACTGGATGTGTGTTCGGTACGTCAGGAGGTGGTGATGGAGCAGTGGATAAGACACATGTCTCGTACGGGTCACGTTTGCTTTTGATTTGTCTGCTCGGCTCCTGATTCCTGTGCTGGTTCTGGTCTCGGGTCTTGGTCCTGCAGAGTCTTCTGCCTGCTCGCTCAGAGACTCTCAGCCTGGAACTCACCTTTGCACATTTTGACACTCAGTAAATCCACAGATTTTCTCTTCCTCAGTTTGTCCTGATGAAGTGAGTGCATCTGTCTTCAGGCTGCACGACTCAAGAAATAACCAACATTCTTTTCATTCTGCAGAAACTGGACTCTGTCATTAATCAACGCGCTGGTTCTCCTCTCTGGATATGAGAGTTCTGAACGCTGATTACTCTTTTAAAGAGTGTTTGATGTTGCTGAAGGGACGAAGTGAACTCCGCCTCCCTCGGCTCTAATTATCTCATTAATCACCGGGGCTGCTGGGAAGTTTTATTTTATTAGACCTGAGAACCTTTGTTTGTTTCCAGCAGAAAATCCAACAGGTTCAGGTCCTTTTAGATGTTGTGAATTATAAAGTCGGTGCGCCACCTGCTGGTTGGTTGTGAAGACGGCAGCGTCTCCTAGAAATTGAGATTCTGTTAGTTTCAACAGCAAAATGTTTGTAAGCCGCCTGAATCACCTTCAGCAGAATGAAGAAACGTGTTTAAAGACTTTCATGGAGTCAGAGGCATTAAAGTATTTTATATTCTGCGTGTGTTTTTGTGTCTGTGCTTCTGCTTTCTGTCTTTCAGTTTAATCTATATTTCCATAAACATTAAAACATCATATCTACATGTTCCAACAACAATAAAGAATTCAGCTCTTAGTGTTTTAATGGGAATGTGGATCTTTCACATCAGTTTGAGACGCACCTCTGATCACATTTCACTGTGTGTCATGTCATGTGGGGAACTGGTCTTGGTCTTGGTCTTGGTCTTGACCACAACACCACTGAAGGGTAACCAGTGCATTCAAAAGAGACGAGCAGAGGTCTGATCAGCGAGAACGTGGTTCTGAAGCAGCACGATGAAGATCTCTTCATAAATGTGACCGATGACACTGAATTAGCCGGACAGAAACCCTGTCCCGGTCTCTGAGACGCCTCCTTTCACAGAGTCACGTGACCTGGGAACACGCGGCGTCCTGCAGGTCTGAAGTGAAGCCGAGCGGCTGCAGGTGAAACGGACTTATCTGTTCAGCGTCCTCTGAGGCTCCTCGCTGCGGTGAATCTGTCTCCGGGGCCCCGGCACCGGCCCCCGCCTCGCTGCCAACAACAGACTGAAGGCAAATCAATACGAAGATTAAAGAGAGGGAAGAAGTCCAGATCCCTGCTGCAGCAACAGACCCGGGGTCAGAAAGTCTTTAATGTAAAGAGTCTCTTTAAACACGATGCTCCCACTTTATCTCTGATGTTTGGTCCAAACAGAGAGGAGCAGGAGGAGGAGCAGGAGGAGGAGCAGGAGCAGGAGGAGGAGGAGCAGGAGGAGGAGGAAGAAGTCCAGATCCCTGCTGCGGCAACAGACCCGGGGTCAGAAAGTCTTTAATGTAAAGAGTCTCTTTATTAAACACGATGCTCCCACTTTATCTCTGATGTTTGGTCCAAACAGAGAGGAGCAGGAGGAGCAGGAGCAGGAGGAGCAGGAGGAGGAGCAGGAGGAGGAAAGGTGGCTGAATGAACGTTATCTAACATATCTTAATGTGAAGTGAGAGCAGTCAGTGCGGAGCAGGAGCAGGAGGAGCAGCAGGAGGAGGAGCAGGAGGAGGAGCAGGAGGAGCAGGAGCAGGAGGAGCAGGAGGAGCAGGAGGAGGAGGAAAGGTGTCTGAATGAACGTTATCTAACATATCTTAATGTGAAGTGAGAGCAGTCAGTGCAGCTCTCTCTTCACCCAGCGGATCGCAGTCTGACTCCTCCGTCGTCTCCTCGGTCGTCTCCTCGCTGTGACGCTCCTCCTTCAGCCCTCCGGGCTCGGAGCGCCGGAACAGAGGCCGGACTCCCGTGATGCTCGTTAGCGTAGCGAGGACCGACTCCGGCTCTGGACTCGGCCGGCGGCCACGTTGAAGGTGATGTGTGCTGACGGAGGAGTGTGGAGCTCGGAGGAGACGACTGATCCCGAAAACCCACAATCTCCTCTGGTACTGCAGTAAAAGTACTAATACCTCAGTGTACAAATACTCTGTTAGAAGTTCTGCATTCAAAACTTCGTACAAAGGTTTAAAATAATACATCATCGATTGTATCAATCGAAATCTGCAAAGTTCAGTTAACAGATGCATTTCTGGAACTGTTGCTTAGGAAATTTGCTTTATTTTCATCAAAAAACCACTTTGTGAATCATTTCAGAAGGTTTTTCTGTCACAGAAAGTTTCCTGCTTTTGGTTGTTGACTACGCAGGACTGACTTGATCTAAGTGACCTGTGACCTCTGCACAGCTGGTTACTCTCTCAGATCACAGCGACGTGTTTGAGTTCATTCAGTGATTGATGATATTTGCTGCAGAGCGATGAAGCTTTTTACCCTTTAAACGCACAGACAGGACGAACTTCCTGTTCTCGTGCTGTAATTAAAACTGGCAGATTAATCAGAGTTCGTCTCAGAGCAGAGAAATGAAAAGTGACACTGAAGCTCAGACACAGTCTGAGTATAAATACTTCCATAGATCAGCGTAACCACAGAGATCAGTCCCACAGTCCTCTGCTCTGTTTGTGAAGACGGGATCTTAATTCAACATTTCTTCTTCTACTGTCAAAACATGAGTTTAACGCCGCCGTGACAAAGAAACAGAAATGCCTCATTATTCAGCGGATACTTAAATATACTTTACAGACGTTTCCGCCTCATTAACCATGATGCATTTCTCTCCTCGACTTCCTTCTTTGCTTTTAACAATCTAAAGCAGTGGTTCTCAACCTGGGGGTTACTATAGACACAAAAAGAGAAAAGAAACAACTTTTTATGGACTGGACTATAACTAGATGGACTATAGTTGTGAATCACTTTGGGTGGACACAAATATTTTGCACTGTTTAATCCAGTAGCTGGCAGACATTTTAAAAAGGCAACATTAAGCTAGCTAGCTAACGTTGATGAGAGGGCCTTTCTGAAGCCGCTTGCTCCTCCCTCTCTCTACATACTTCCACTCCGTTTGCGCGTTCATGCGGAGGATCCGCCACATTGAGCGCCATCCGAAACCACTAAGGGCGGAGTGCTAGTGGGTTGTTAAACCCTCCGGTGCCGAGCGAGCGCCGATGCTGGCTTGTTGCAGGCGTGTAACACTCTTTGCTGCAAATGTGAGTTCTGTGACTTCACCGGTTAACATGGAGGATTTCATATCACCATTCACAGGTTTACAACGTAGCCCAAAGATTATACTGTGTTTAATAAAAAATGCTCTGATACACAATACAGCTGCTGTTTTTATTGAATCCTAGAATAGAAAAACTTTATTGAATCTTATTCATCTCATACGAAATAGGCTACAGTAAACGACAGAATAGAACATGGCACAACTAGAAACACGGGGATCACGTACAAGCAACAAAGACATCAAAGAAAAACAGTCCAGTCTTTATAAATTCTGTTTTAAATCCTTCAGATCATATAATTCTTTAATATAATGTAACATGTATTTGTGAACGTAATATTTTTCAGAGGTTCAAATATACAGGCTTTTCTTTACAATGAATATCAATCTTTTCATAAAATATTATAATTTGCAATCTGCAATTTTTTGTAAATATCTAAAGTCATGTTCTTAAAGAAATGTTTGACACAAACACAAAATGAACAGTCTCAACAGACTCAACAGTCTCCCTGCAGAAGGAAGCCGCGTCGACTCGTGGAAGCGACGGAGCAGGAAGTAAAACTCGGTGCTCGCAGCAGTGTTCAGGTGTTACAGCTGACTCATATTTGATCTGTTTGTCTTGGTTATTCTGTTGTTTCCAGGGCTGGTTGGGAAACACTGTTTCTGACTGAAGCAGCCTCCTGCTGCAGCAGGCGAGCTGATCATGTGATCTCTTCCTCTAACAAACTGACTCCTGAACCACAGAAACCATCTGACAGACTGAAGTGTGTGAACCCTTTAGTGCTTTCTGGATAAAACATTCAGCTCATGGGTTTTTATAAGTATAAAATATGACCTGATGCATCAGCTGCACCAGTTCTTTGAGATCTGATTGGTGCGTCCTGGTCTGGAATCTGTTATCAGTTATTTTCTGAACAGGCTTTAAGGCTTTAAAGAGCGGTCACGTGTTGTTTCCTGTGTTTCAGCCGGCTGAATGATGTTGCTGGTCGTCGGTCCTGCAGTGAGCAGCTCATTAGTCTCAGTGCGCCGCTGGCCTCATTGTTTTAAACAGATCTGGGGCTTCGGCCTGAAGACCGGGAGCACCGTTTATCTCCAGCAGGACGACACTGCTCTTCTTAAAACAGTAAGTGAGTTAAACTGCATGTAGTTCAAGTTTTAAAGCAGCACAAAGACAAGTTGGTGTGTTTAGGGTCCAGGATGTTTTCAGCATGACGTCAGTGTGTGATGTGATTGGTCATGATTGTCACAGCCTCCAACACGCCCATTTGTGATTTGTGATACACTACAAACTTACTTATGTTGACCTGATGACGGCATTGGTTAAAAAGTCAGAGAATCACCAAAGTTCTTACGTTTCATCCTGAGGGGAACATCAAGGTCTGAACCAGGTTTCATCACAATCCATCAACAGCTGCTGAAACGTTTCAGTCTGGACCAAAGGACCAATCAGGAGCTAGCATGTCTCAACATCCAAACACCACCGCCGTGAAACCGAAGCAGCCATCAAAAAAACAACCGCCTTCCTCTGATGACAGTCGGTTCTACAGTGTAGCTGAAACTCTGATTTGTTGAAACCAGCTGAAAACCTGTGAAGTTATTCTCTCGGCTGTAAAACCTGACAGAGCTCTGAAATATGAGCCGTGATAATAATCAGAATCTGACACTCAGCACTTCCTGTCGGACCAATCATCCGTCACGGTGACGAGCTCATAAAGCTCCTGCTGACGGAGTCGCCTTTCTGCTGACCGAGCAGCTCCTCTGGGCTTTTACTGCAGCGGGGCCTCCACTTCCTGCTCCGGTGACCTCGGTACCTTCAATACGACTCGTATAACGTGGCTGAAACGCTCTGATTGTTCCGCCTAATATAGAAAACGGTTCTCTATATTGAAAAGTTATGGCATCTTGTCCACAGCAATATCAGAGCTTTCAACCTGGAATCAAATCTGCAACCTTATACAGCAAACATTGTGTGTGTGTTTTGGCTGTAAGTATTTTCCTGTGCTGTTTGTCCCTTTTCCTCTTCTGTCCTCTGGTTACATGAGGTCCACCTGGCCTGGAAACCAGGTCCTTATAAGCTCCTGAGCCAGCGTCAGAAAGAACTGCTGGTCTCGCTGCCTCTCAGGCTGGATTCTGTGTTTTGAATTTATTCTTTTGGTCTTCTTGATTTGTTTTCTTGGTTGTTTCTCTTTATGTTAATAAATCCCACAGTTTTGGTTGTTTCAAAGGTCTTTTTCTGTGGTTGGTTTGGGTCGGTGTTGGAGTGCTGTTCACCCCGTAGAGCTGCTTATGGGTGAGGCGTAACAGTGTGTGTGACTGACTGACCAACTGAGTGGGCGAGCGAGCAAGAAAGAGTGAGATAAAGAGAGAGAAGCAGCGAAGTCAGATCATCCAACAAATCAGATCAAACCAGAGAGAGAGAGTTAACAGCATAGAAAGTGGAGCTCTCTCGCCCAGCAGAGCTGCTCTCATGTTCACGCTTCACTATAAAAACCTGACAGAGGAGTTCAGCATCAAACTATCTTCTCTGTCCGCTTCTGAAGCGAAGCCTTCACACATCACTGACAACAGCGACAGGACAGGAAGCGAAGATTCATCCAGGACTTTTCTGTCCTCGACCCAACGTGAAAGCAGAAATATACAAAATCCATAATCCTTACAAATCTATCAGATCAAATCTGGATCCACTATGAACTAAAATGTTGGCAGACCCACGTCAGTGTTCACCTCCTGACCTTTAACTTTGACTTGATTGATTTGTTTGACATTTCAGTGTAGCTACTCTCATGAGCTCTGAAGTATTTGGTCCCGCCCCGCCGCTCTGCTCCTACCAACCAATCAAACTGACTTAACCTCTATCCCATTGGTTGCCTTGTTTGAATGTGGCCCCAGCATAGACAGTATACCTATGAGGCTCACCTGTCAAACACCAACGCAGCGTCACTGATGGACTAATAGTTTTTTTAGATTCACAGAGTGGAGCCTTCCCTGTAGGCTTTGGTTGGCTTCACTGTTCCAACTCTGGCTTACCCCTTTGGCCCCTATTCGTTGTGACTTTAAATGTTGTGTTGTTGTGTCCTGACCTTCAGAGCCGTGCTGTCGGCCAGAGCAGCCGCTTGTCTGTTCAGCTGTGACGCCATGATGTGGCAGCGCTGACACAGTCTCTGCAGCTCCTCCTCCTCCGGTTCGCCGTAACGGCTCAGTTCGCTGGCCGACAGCGAGCCCTCAGGGTTCGGCCGTGAGGCACAGCTTCTGGACTCCTCTTCATCCTCACCTGCAGAGTGGAGACGCTTCCTGCGACACGTTGAGCCCAGAGGAAGAGGAGTCTCGCCCTCCACCACCTGCAGTCAGATCACAAACCTTACTGTTCTGTGTAGTTTACACTTCATGGTTCATTTTCTCCTAATTCCCTGTTTGCCTTTGGCACATCGACAACATTCACACTGCACATCAGCAAACAGATAGATGATAACACACAGGGCTGAGGTTCTGGAGGTAGAGCAGGTCGGTGGTTCGAAGCCCACATCCTCCTGTCCATGTCTGAACCCAAACTGCTCCAGCACCTGCATCTCGCTGCATCAGTGTGTGAGAGTGTGTGAATGAATCAAAGAGCTATAAATAGAGCCATTTAGATTATTCAATATTTTTGGCAGGACATTAAATTCTACTTGATATAAATGGAAAACAATTTGCTTTATTTATTTTAGTTAAACCAACTAAACTACAGATTAAATAAAGGGCTGAAGTTTAGTTAAGTCAATATATCATGGCCATACAGGCTAATGTAGCCTACCAACGTGTTCTCATCTCAGTCTGTCATAACTGACGCTTTCATATATTATTATATATTAATATCATATATATATGATATATATATATATATGATATTATATTCCAATTTCCGCATACCAAGTACTTAAGCATACCTTTTCCATTCACCTCCCCTTTACTCAGCTTTTTCATCCCTCCCACCCAAATCCCTTTCTTTTCCTTTCTCTCTCCTCCTGCTCCCTTCTCTCTCTTTGTCTGCTTACAGGAATCGGGGGTGTCCGCTCGCCTCCCCTCATCCTCTCATCCCTTGACCCTCTCCCCCATCCCTCAGCCCACCATCCAGGCACTGAATCCGTCCCTTCCATATAATCTCATCTCAACTCCATCATAAGCAGTAAACCATTTAAATCTACATCTTCACAAGTTTGGTCTTTGTTGGTGAAGTGTAATTATTTGACTTAAAGGTATGTATGAAACGTCACTGTTTGCTGGCAACACAAAGGAGGCTAGCAGCTAGGGTTAGCCGGTCGACATGCATAAAGTCAGTGACTTAGGTTTAGGTACTATTATGGTAAGGGAAGGGGGCTTTGGGGGGCTTTCAACGCCTTTAACACAAACGTAGCTCGTACAGACACTTGGTCTGTAGAAGAGGCCCCAGGAGTGTCTCATAAAGACACACCAAGGGCATCTCACAGACACTAAAGGGTACCTTTAGGGTACCTTTAGGGTACCTTTAGTGTCAAGTAAATACACTTTTTCAAATTTCAAATTTGTGTCTAATAACATCATCACAATTGTCATATTGATATGCAAATTAGCCATTAATTACTTACAAAATTAGACAAAAGACCTTTAAGTCAATACGTGATCTCTTGATATCAGTTGTATTTTTCCACATATAACATCTACATAATTAATAAAACTGATTAAAGAATTTATGTCATTCGCTTTTTAGATTTTCTTAAGTTAAATGTTCTAGTTTAACAATAGACAGATAGATAATTTTACTCACTTTAAGTATACTAAGTAGAGTAATTTGGCAAAGCAATTGATATTACAAATGCTTTTAAATATTTTTTAATTGTATCTAGTGCATAAAACTTTAAAATACTAGCTGAATAATTTGGCAATTCAGATTTTCATTACACTTACTTATTTTTTTAAGGGAACCGGTTTCCTTGAAATGTTACAGTAAATTCAACTTATCTGTGCTTACAGTGGAGTTGTAAATAACATTTTATGTGACTGACTGTTTTGTCTCTCCTGAACAATAAACTCACATCAAACATGTTGGAGTACAACAGTGAAATAGTGAAACGAATGTATAACAAAATTCTTCAGCAACAGGGATCAATAAACATTGAATATGAACTCTCAGCACAGAGAAAAACAACATGTGCTGATAAAGCATGTGAAAAAGGATCATAGTGAACTCCTCCTGATGTGAAGACTTCGACATATCTACATGTTCAAATCACAAAGCACAGCAGTTTCAACCACACAGTAACTTCATTCAGTACATGTTTCCACACACGAACAGCCGTTTCACCAGCGTCAAGCTAGACCGACAGAGACAGGAACCTGACTTTCAAAGTAAAAAAAAAGTTTTTCATCAATGGAAAAATTAGTATGATGAATCTATCACTTGGATAAATGGAATAAAACTACAGTCAAGAAATTCAATGGAAAACCACTGAAATGCCAGATTGTCCACTTTAATTTGACTGTGCTTCTTCTTTGCATAAATTACTTTTCTGATGACAGTTGGTCTCCACTCCAGCCTGACGAGTCCTGAAAGCTGCAGGAAGACTTTACATGAGGATAATAACCTGATACTCACTGTGTATCTCCTGTAGTCTTGTCTGTGCCCCCGAGCTGTGTTCCAGTACTGAGAGTACATGTTAATAAACTCTAATAAACTCTGATTATCTGAAAAACTCTGAATCTCTGTGACTTTCCTGTGTTTGTTAGTAGAGAAGCAGTTTCAGTCTCTGTAAGCTGGCGATGAAATCTCTGTGAAACAAAGGGTGTGTGTGTGTGTGTGTGTGTGGGAGGAGAATGATGTCGCTGAAGCGTGAACTTTCCGACTGCAGGAGGCTGAGATGATCCTTCGCTCGACATTGAATTACATAACTGCTGTGTAGATTGTGAGTGAAGACTGAGATTAAACTTGACTAATTAGTTATAGTGAGAATAGTGGAGCTGGATAAAGAGCAGTAATGGAAACTAACTAGTTTAGAGAATTTATTGTGGCAATTTATGCTACAGCACATGATACAGCTAGGGACACATTATATCAACCAGGGATGTCACTAGGATAGAAAGACAAGGAGGGCTTTCTGCACCAATTTCTGTCTAAAACTCAACAGAACTTACTGTATGTCAGTGCAGCTCTCAGTCATTCTGTGTTGCTCTCAGATATGTTTCTCCTGTAGATCAACTTTGTCCCTGCTGAGTCAACACACATGCAGATGAAAAAACAATAATTTTGTCTAGTCCATTTTTGAATCAGGTTTGGCACAGGTACCACAGCTAGATTCTCTCATTGACCAGGATTCAAAGAACTGCTAACTCTGGTTGATTAATGTTAACATTACTGTAGCTAGCTAGCCAAACAAAAATGTTAGATAACTCTGTTACAACATAGCGTAAGTGTAACTGTAATTCAAGGCAGCAATAAAGACAACATGATGCCTTTAAAAGCAGTATTCACATACTGTCACTAAAAAAGCTGCTTTTTAGGTGAATATTCACACAAAGACACACCTGAGCAGCAGGTATCCTAAAATGCTTTGTTTACCTCACTGTGTCGCGGCAGTACAGCAGTCATGAGCAGTGAAAACAAGGAATGGAGTTTAACTTTTATGGACACTAAATGAGCAGAATGGAATGGATATGATGAAGCAGCATGAAAGTGACGGCTGTAGCTTAAAACGCAGAATGGAGTTTATTAGAGCATTTCTCAGGTGGAATGGATTTGATTGACGACGCTCTGAAAGGTGAACAAACAGACAAACAGCTGGGTCCGATATCATTGGTCTTAAAAAGTGGGTGGATCTTGTCATACAATACAATGGTTACGACGCCCATGTAATGTTAGCTTTTAGACACATCAACACTGCATGGGGGGAATTCACTTAGGACGCTTCTGCCCCTGTTTCTACTAAGTAAGATGCTCCATGAACTTTAGCGTAGATGTCGTCCGCCACCCAGTGGGCATTTTCCAGAGTGACCTGCACCTTTGATGCTATTACTTCTTTGGCCAACCAGCAACCATTTTAGGGCCTTCCTGGAGGGCTTTCTTTTGCTCTGGTGTTTACGGTATTCTTCATCTGACAGGTGTCCACCTTTGTGAGGAGAAGACTTACAGATGATGTGAGGCAGGCATTCCAAAAGCTAAATCAAAGTAATCCATAACGCAACTAGTGAGAAATCCAAAATGACAGAAAACAACCAAAACATTTGGGGAAACAAAGGCAGTGATCCAGAAACACCAGACCTTAGCAAGCACACTCAGAAGACTGTCATGGACCATGATGAACAGTGAAACTGCACTTTATATCAGTTTGTTCACAAGTTTAACCTTTGTAGCAGACATTTTTAACATATAGTAGTTTTCAGACTTGTGAAAAGTTCAGCCCAGAGGAGATCATTTCACCATTTCTAAGAAAACACATTTCTGACATTAAAGGCACAATCAGTGAGCCAGATGTTAACCAAAGTGAAGCCTCGTCCACCACCAACATTTAAACCACAGGACTGGAAGTTGTCTCCCTCCTACACAGAACACAGAGACACTGAGGAACCAGAGGACCAGAGCCCCAAACCAGGATAAAGAGGTTCAGTGAATGTGGTGTTGAAGGTGTGGAGGTGGATCAGTGTGTCAGAGGAGACTCTGTAGAAGGACAGAGAGCCAGCAGGACAGTCCACATACACTGCTACTCTGTCAGAGGAGGAGGAGGAGGAGGAGGAGGAGGAGGAGGAGGAGCAGCAGAGAGGGAGGACCGTTTTTCTGTTATTGTGCCAGACAGAGTAACGACCATCAGAGCAGATCAGACTCCAAGACTGATCATTCAATCCAAACACACAGTCTTCTCTGCCTCCTCTCCTTCTGATTCCTCTGTAACTCACTGAAATATAAACTTTTCCTCTCCACTCGACCTCCCAGTAACAGCGACCAATCACACCATTTCTAAACAGCAGCTGAGGCCAGCAGTCAAATCTCTCTGGATGATCAGGATATGGCTGCTTCTCTGTCACATGTGTCACCTTCCTGTTGTTGTCAGACAGTTTGAGCTTTCTGTGTGCTGTGTTTGGTTCCAGGGCGAGTTCACAGAAATCTGATGGAGAGAACGAGACACAACACAGCAGCAGTTTATCATCAGACACATCTGAAGGTTTATTCTTTGTTTGTGTGCTGATGTTGTTCATTTCTATAAAGTTTAATGATGATGCATTTAGTCAGTAATGTTTGAATGAATAAATACCACAACTATCAACTTTGTATTGAAAGAGAAACTGACTGTGTGCTGTTTTGTCATCATGAGTCAGATTGAATCCACACTTACACTTCCTCAGACCAGGTTTTAACCTCTGCTCTCCACCATGGTCCACCCTGGAGGAAGAAACACAGTCAGAGTGATTTTCTATCCAACATGAGTCCTAACTGCTGTTCAACATGAAGCAGTGTTCCTCAGTTTGTCAGTGTGACAGAGAAACAGGCTGAAACTCATCTGTCTCCAGGATTCTTTCACTGTCTGAGAGAAAAAGACCTGAAGAACTATTTGACCAACATTCACACATGAGCATTAAACAGATTCAACTTGTATTGTGTAATTTATGTAATTTGTTAAATTAAAAAATTAGAAACTGAGGGCACTGTATGATGTAAAGACTGTGAAGCTTTTTGACACAAATGTGTCATTTAATAATAAAATAAATAAAACAAATTGACTTAAGAATGTCACATCAATAAAGAGTTGTATTTCAGGTGAAAAAGTAAAGTGTGTGTGTGTGTGTGTAGGGATGATCCAAGTATCATAGTTACTGTCAGTCATAGTGAACAAATTAATAATACGTGCACAAAATGTGCAGCGTCACAGTGGTGACAGACATATGGTTCTGCTGGACTGCAGGCCTCACAGGCCCAGAGAGAAGCCTACAAGTCTGACACTAACATTTGAACATAATAAGAAAGCCAATTAACATTACTGTGTGTTTCAGACACATACTGAAATTCAAAGAAGACATAAATACAACTGAACATTTTCATTGTTGTAACAACTAGTCCAGACTCTTGTAGCCATTGTGACAGCCTGGGGCCTTAGGACTGTGTGGTGTTGGCCTGTCTCTCTCTTCTGTGTTTTCAGGTCTTTCTTCCTGTGTGGTCCGACACACCCACCTCATCAGTGATCCTGGCCACCTACTGAAGTCTTTAAAAGCCATGGTGAATCCAAAATAGCCGCTCTCGTGCTCATGATCTCCTGAGCTCCTTAGTCTTTTAGTTGTTAGTAGTGTTTAGTTTTGAGTATGTTGAGTTTGAGTTTAATTGTGTTTTCAGTAGTGCTGGGCAAATTTTTAATCGCGATTACAAAATTGAATAATGAATTCTAAAGTAGTGTATTGCACACTTTTGATTTAAATGTACTGTTATATACACAAAAGTGCAATAACATGTGGTTTGCAAACACTTTCAACAAATAACGTGCTTTTTAGCAGTATTCCCTTTATACAATAGCAATAAAATATTTCTTGTAAATCTCAACTTAAACATTAATGTAATCAAACCAAATATTAAACCAAAGCTATTTGCCACTGCCAGGGCATTACCTTTTATCTAGCTTAGTAAAACAAGTTATCATCAGAGTCCAGTTTTCTTGGGATTCTTTCTGAGCAGGTATCAGTAAATTAATTAATTTATCATTGAGGTGAAAAGGTGCAACATGCACATTTAAATAGTTTACTTCCCCAAAAGACACAAAAGATGAGGGAATACTAAATTGTGTGCTAACTGAGCAGGGATTTTATTAAAGAAAAGTTGATCTACAGGCGAAAACATAATCAAAAGCAATATCTACAGGATGCCTGAAGGCCTTACTGCATTAAATTCTATTAATTTTTTTATATTAATAAATTTATATTATATAAACTGTCACCTGCCACCTGAATATTGTGTTTCCCTTTATATAGATAAAGATAAAAAAATCTCACCTAGGGCTCCAACACTGTCAGGGCCAACCTTGCTCCCATGACAGACAAGACAGGAAGGACAGTGTCTGTGCTCTTGTTTTCTGCCCATACCTGAGAGTGTCCAGTTTCCAGTGTGGATCCTCCAGTCCAGCAGACAACAGCTTCACCCCTGACTCTCCTAGATAATTGTAGCTCAGGTCCAGCTCTCTCAGATAGGAGGGGTTGGAGCTCAGAGCTGAGGCCAGAGAAGAACAGCCTTCCTCTGTGATCTGACAACCTGACAGCCTGAAATCAGGAAAACATCATCAACTCAGTGTTTTAAAAAATGAGTTTGACTGTGCGTGTTTGTGTTTGTCAGTCAGCCTGAACAGAGACGTACATTATCAAAACTACTGGTAATAATGTGATTATTACCTGTGTTTTTGTACATTGTTTAAAGAGGAGAGGAGTTGTCTGTTTTTATGAAACTGAAAAGTGCTGAAGCTAAATGGCTCTGCAAAACCAGTGTGAAGCTTAACGACGAGCTGAATTCTGACCTGAGAGTTTCCAATTTACAGTGTGGACTCTCCAGTCCAGCAGACAGTAGCTTCACTCCTGAATCCTGCAGGTTGTTGTTACTCAGGTCCAGCTCTCTCAGACTAGAGGACTGGGAGCTGAAAACTGAGCACAGAGCTTCACAGCTTCTCTCTGAGAGGTTACAGAAACTCAGTCTGGAGGATTGTTGAGACAAACAAAACAGTTTGTAATGTATCATCTACAAAATATTTACAATATAATATATTAAATATCAATGCAAAACAAACTGCTAACTGGTAATCTTCTGATGCTTCCACCTACAGAGCTTTGTTGGAGGCTTTGACCACTGGCAGCAGCCTCAGAAGAGCATCCTCTGAAGCAGAGTATTTCTTCAGGTCAAACACATCCAGATCTTTTTCTGATGACAGTAAGATGAAGACCAGAGCTGACCACTGAGCAGGAGAGAGTTTATCTGTGGAGAGACTTCCTGAACTCAGGGACTGTTGGATCTGCTCCACTAGAGAACGATCATTCAGTTCATGCAGACAGTGGAACAGATTGATGCTTCTCTCTGGAGACAGATCCTCACTGATCTTCTTCTTGATGTACTCAACTGTTTTCTGATTGGTCTGTGAGCTACTTCCAGTCTGTGTCAGCAGACCTCGTAGGAGACTCTGGTTGGTCTGCAGTGAAAGACCCAGGAGGAAGCGAAGGAACAAGTCCAGGTGTCCATTTGGACTCTGTAAGGCCTTGTCCACAGCACTCTGGTAGAGATGTGTTAGTTTAGGTTTGTCTCTGAAGACTTTTGACAGCCGGGACGTTGTTTGTTCTTCTGCCAGCAGATTGACAGCAGAGTTGATGAAGGTCAGATGGACATGAAGAGCAGCCAGAAACTCCTGAAGGCTCAGATGGACGAAGCAGAACACCTTGTACTGGTACAGCCCTCTCTCCTCTTTAAAGATCTGTGTGAACACTCCTGAGTACACTGAGGCTGCTCTGATATCGATGCCACACTCTGTCAGGTCGGATTGATAGAAGATCAGATTGCCTTTCTGCAGCTGCTCAAAAGCCAGTTTTCCCAGAGACTCAATCATCTTCCTGCTCTCTGGACTCCAGTGCTGATCTGTCTCAGCTCCTCCATCATACTTGATGTTCTTCAGTTTGGACTGAACCACCATGAAGTGGATGTACATCTCAGTCAGGGTCTTGGGCAGCTCTCCTCCCTCTCTGGTCTTCAACACCTCCTCCAGAACTGTAGCAGTGATCCAGCAGAAGACTGGGATGTGGCACATGATGTGGAGGCTTCGTGATGTCTTGATGTGGGAGATGATCCTGCTGGCCTGCTCCTCATCTCTGAACCTCTTCCTGAAGTACTCCTCCTTCTGTGGGTCAGTGAACCCTCTGACCTCTGTCACCATGTCAACACACTCAGGAGGGATCTGATTGGCTGCTGCAGGTCGTGTGGTTATCCAGAGGCGAGCAGAGGGAAGCAGGTTCCCCCTGATGAGGTTTGTCAGCAGCACATCCACTGAGGTGGACTCTGTGACATCAGTCAGGACCTCATTGTTGTGGAAGTCCAGAGGAAGTCGACACTCATCCAGACCGTCAAAGATGAACACAACCTGGAACTCTTCAAAGCTGCAGATTCCTGCTTCTTTGGTTTCAGGAAAGAAGTGATGAACAAGTTCCACCAAGCTGTACTTTTTCTCTTTCAGCACATTCAGCTCTCTGAAAGTGAATGGAAATGTGAACTGTATGTCCTGGTTGGCTTTGTCTTCAGCCCAGTCCAGAGTGAACTTCTGTGTTAAGACTGTTTTCCCAATGCCAGCCACTCCCTTTGTCATCACTGTTCTGATTGGTTCATCTCTTCCAGGTGAGGCTTTAAAGATGTCTTCTTGTCTGATGGTTGTTTCTGGTCTGTCTGGTTTCCTGGATGCTGTTTCAATCTGTCTGACCTCATGTTCATCATTGACCTCTGCAGTCCCTCCCTCTGTGATGTAGAGCTCTGTGTAGATCTGGTTCAGAAGGGTTGGGTTTCCTGCTTTAGCAATCCCCTCAAACACACACTGGAACTTCTTCTTCAGGTTAGACTTGAGTTTACGTCGGCACACTGCAGCAACAGTTCCTGAATGAAGAAAGAAGAAATGTGATTAATAAGTGGATGCTGCAGTTAATCTGATAAATGTAAACTTTAAGACATCAAGATGGTATTTATTTTCCTCCTCCATGAAATCTCTTCAGCTCATCAGCTGTGAACAGTTTCTGAGTTTCAGCCCAGAAGAATTCATAGATCTGATCCAAATGTGTGCATCATATTAACAGCAGAGTTTGAAATGGAAACTTCTCCCATGTTGCCTCCATTTCCTCTTTCCATCATGTTAAATCTGTTCAAATCCTCTTACTGCTCTGCAGACGCTCAGCCAGCTCCTCCTGCTTCATTCTCCTCAGGAAGTGCAGTGTGATCTTCAGAAATGCCTCTCTGCTGCTCCTCCTCTGCTCCTCCTCCTCACCGTCCAACACCTCCTCCTCCTCCCTCCCTAAGCATGCTGGGTAATCTGGACTCAGAACCCTCTGGAACTTCTTCACCTCGTTCTTCACAAACCTGCCAATGTTTTCCTGGAGCAGCTGGAACAGAAGAAAATGTAAAGTTGAACTGGTAGAAGTCAACATCAGATCATCTGTGACAGACAGAAAGCCTGCTGGTCTGCAGAGTGCAGCATGGAGACTGGATCAGAATGCTGCTTCACTATTTACTTTGTGGCTCCTGTAATTAGCAGTAGTAGCTGAGCTTGTACATTTACACACCATAAATATGGAGTCCAGGTCTGTTTGATGCTGCTGGGCAGACTGACCACTGGGAACCTCTGAGCTCTGCTGATCAACTCTGTGAAGAAAAAATCTGTTTAATTATAAAATAATTATTTTATTTTTTAAAGTATGGAGAATATCTTTTCTCAGATTAACCAGATTATAACACATTTAGGGGACCCTCTTGATTCAGTCAGCACCAACCGCCCCCTGCTGATGTTGGTCTCGGCTACTGGGAGATTGTAGATCCCAGAAACCTGAAGGCTTCTACTGGTGCTATTGATGGGCATGAGTGTAACAGGGGTGGGTACCTACTGATGTCCACTGGAGAGCACAGCCAAGTTACAGAGGATTTAAAAACTTGAATATCTCGTCCCTCTGGCTGATTTTAAACATTTAAGGTGACCAACTGACTGACCAACATTCAATGCAAATGTAAATGTACCCGAGTTAGCCACAGGCTAGTTTTCATCGACAGTCCCTTTACCAGATGGTTTTGGGCATCATAAAATTCATCATAAAATTGTAAACTAATATAATACAGTAAAATACCATATAAAACTAACAAAAGGTAAAAAGATTCTGGAGAAATCCAACAGCAGAATTAACATCATGATACAGAGCAAACAAAGACACAGCAAGTGATGTAGTTAATGTTAGGTAAATTGTTTTTTAGCAAACAGCCGTTACAGCTTCTGCTGCAAAGCTGAGAGGATGAGAAAGTCCCAGAGCAGCACAGAAGCTCCAGACAGTGATACTCATAACTCTCCTGCTACAGCTAATGTCACAACAACAGCATGTCTTGGTGAACTAGAAAGTAAGCGTAAGTAAGAGTGTCTGTGGGCAAGTCATTTAACATTACTGACACACACATCATGGCTGGAACAGCTGGAATAGTGTTGTGTGGCGGGGTGTGGGCCACTTTGTTTCCCGCTTAAAAAGCAAGGGCTGAGTGTAAATTCCAGAACTAGGGTTGCCAACTGTTCAGTATTAGCAGGATAGTCCCTTATATTGGGCCTAATTGATCTGTCCCATACGTGACCTCCCTTGTCCCGTTAATTGACTGCTATGCTGATCTATTCACTGATTAATACGATAGCAACAGCAGCAGTGCTGATCACGACACTTCACAAAAGCCTTCTGTACTTTATGTTGCAGGGAATTTTCAGTTGGCCATTGAGGTGAGAATGACTTTACTCAACTTGCTTCCACAGAAATGCACAAGAAGGCCACACCAGCTAAAGGTGCAAGCAATATCGGTGCCTTGTTCAGAGCAGCTGCTGTGGAAACTGACAAAATGAGGGCAAAGCCTTGTATGTGTGTCACACTGTCACAAGGAAATAAATGAGAAAGTCAGATTAAAATGGATTTATAAATAAATAAAAATAAAGGACAGAAAAAGGTAGGTCTTTAAATTAGATTTGAAGTTCTCAATGGTGGTTCAGGACTTGATGTTAGATGGAAGACTATTCCAAAGCTTGGGGGCAGCAACAGAAAAGGCTCGGTCACCTTTAGTTGTGAGGCGTGAGAAGGGCACTAAGAGGAGTTGTTGTGAAGATGATCTAAACGACCTAGGTGCAGAATATGGAATTAGCAGATCAGTAATGGATTGTGGGGCTAAGCCATTGAGGGCTTTAAAAACAAATAATAGAATTTTAAAATCAATTCTGTATTTTACCGGTAACCAGTGCAAGTGAGACAAGACCGGAGTAATGTGTCGTCTTCCCTTTGTTCCAGTTAAAAGTCTAGCAGCTGCATTATGAACCACTTGTAGTCAGGAAAGTGTTGAATGGGTCAGCCACTATACAGGGAATTACAGTAGTCCAGCCGTGAGGTGATAAGCGCATGTATAACTGTTTCCAGGTCTCTGTGGGATAAAAATGGCTTCAATTTGGCTATAGTTCGACGCTAACCTTCACGACACTACTGATTTGTTTGTGAAGAAGATGCACTTGGGAAGAAGAAAGCTGAGATGATCACAATCAATGTTTTAGGACCAAGGACTGTGCAGGACATCCTGATTGATCTTTCCCCGACCAAAGGTGAGCCTGTGTTTTACTTGGTTGCCACCAATGCCTCAAAAGAGGGAAACAGAAATATGTTTCCAGTGTGCGTGAGATATTTTCTGTGTCTGATGGAGTGAAAAACTGCACATGGTTTTCATCAAGCACTGATGAACTGCCTGATAAAAGCATGAACTGGAAATAAAACACATCACAGCCTATGAGGCAGATAATGCCAATGTAATCTTTGGAAGACACCACTCTGTTTAAGTTATTGAGACTTGGTGAGCAGAAGCATGTCCGTCTTAAATCTTTTGTATTTAAATGTTTTATTTCGTCAAGTTTTCCAATTTATATATGAGTGCAAAACTACAACACACAGAAGTTTACTGCCAATCAGGTTGGATAACCGAAGCTGCTGTGGGGGAGAGTATGGTGGTCTCAGTGTTACTGAGTGTTTGGAGTCTGCGGCGAGCGTGTGGCAGTTGGCAGAGACAGTAACCAGCAGTGGCAACAGTGGGATTCCTGTGGTTAAGTGTAGTGATTGACTATCCAACGAAGGTTAAAAAACAAGGGCAACTGGACTTGGTTGAAGATACTGGAAGACGTTTCGTCCCTCATCCAAAGGACTTCTTCAGTTCTGACTGACTGGCAGGGAAACTCAGCTATTTAACCTCAGTGGGGTCGTTATCCCGGGTCATCGATACCGCTGGTTCGTTAGTGTTCCCGGTTGCTGTGACGACAGTCGTTACAGTCGTTAAGACTACCTGTGGCCGAGACTGAACGACCATCGTTGGTATCTTCACCTGAGGCCAATAGGTTACGTTTGTTGAGTTTCCTGGGAAGTGATGAAAGGACAGCATTGTAAGTGGGGGATAAGTGGTGGCGTAGACCCCCTCCCCTGTTCAATGACGGCTTCTCAACCCTGGTGTAGATGCTTCCTTGACACCTCTTTCAAACCATCCATCTTCTCTGTCTAAAATGTGCACCTGGTGGTCCTCAAACGAGTGTCCTCTGTCCTTCAGATGTAAGTAGACTGCAGAGTCTTGACCTGAGGAGTTGGCCCTTCTGTGTTGAGCCATGCGTTTGTGTAGTGGTTGTTTAGTCTCCCCAATATACAGGTCTGTGCATTCCTCACTGCATTGGACCAAATACACTAGATTGCTTTTCTTGTGTTTGGGTGTGCGGTCCTTGGGGTGGACCAGCATCTGTCTTAGTGTGTCTTAGTGTAACACACTAAGACACACTAAGACAGAAGATACCAAGATGGTCGTTCAGTCTTGGCCACAGGTAGTCTTAACGACTGTAACGACTGTCGTCACAGCAACAAGGAACACTAACGAACCAGCGGTATCGATGACCCGGGCCAACGACCCCACTGAGGTTAAATAGCTGAGTTTCCCTGCCAGTCAGTCAGAACTGAAGAAGTCCTTCGGATGAGGGACGAAACGTCTTCCAGTATCTTCAACCAAGTCCAGTTGCCCTTGATTTTTAACCTTCGTTGGATAACTATGACCTGGACGACTGAGAATCTTCATAGACATAGTGATTGACTGTTTTTTCTGTTGATTGTGCATTTAGAGACACTTTTTGTAAATAAATCCCTTTTGTTTTGTTAACTTACTCCTTTCCTGGTTTTCTTCTGCCCTGGAACAAACTATAAATTGTACTTACCTCCTCCCCCTGGGCTTCCATCTGAGGTTCGTAGCAGTGGGTTTTGCTGTCTGATTCCGTATCCATCAACCTACAGACACCTTTTCATTTCCCCAGTATCTCCAGTAAGAGGAAATTCCTGTGCTTCTAATTCAGGGTAATCCAATTTTTCAAAGTAAAAGCTCTCAGTTTAACTCAAAATAAAGCACTGCTGCAAAAAATGTGCTCGCACTTTTAGTTTGTTTGCAAAACCACTAAAGAGGAAGTGATTATGTGAGTAACTGTTGCTGTCATGACTGAGATCTATTTCAGCACCGCTAACACAGTTTTTATTTATATTTTGCCGCTATCAAAGCACCATAATCTGACAGAGGGCCAAATATTACTTACGGACAGTTTTGGCGAGGGTCCATAATCACAGAAAGAATAAACATGTTTCCCTTGTCAATGTTGTAGAATATGTAGATGAATTCTAATTATGTATCATTCTCCAAAGCTATGACTTGACCGTCACAGGCTAAAGTATATTAAGCCTGTGACGGTCAACTTAACAACAAAAACATTAAGATTCTTACCTTTGTTCAGCACGGTTATGTCCAGCTTTGAATTCAATGGGGAAACTCTTAGACCGGTTGCTCTTCATGGACACACAGCTGGGTTCAGGAGAGTCTGGTCTCTGCTGATGGATCCTGGTATGAACAATGAAATGACAAATCAAGTCTGTCCTTATGTGTTAATCTTGAAGATTTTCTCATGTGTTAAATGGCACCTTTGACCTGTTGTCACATCAAGTGTGTTTAGAGAAACCTTCAGTAAGAAAAGCAGCTACAATCAACGTCACCATGGCTAACTAGCTCAGAGAACAGCCAGTAAACTGCTTGTTTTTAAAGATAATGTAGTGACAGAAGCTAAACTGATGGCATGTCCTTTGAGGGGACTGCAGTCTCATAAACTCACTGCAGGTATGTTAGCCATTAGCTTGCTGATATGTAGCTGCAGCTTATGAAGTTCAACATAGATTAAAAGTGGATCTACAAATTGGAGCGTGAACAGGGTCTGAATTCAGACCTCCATCCTGACCCCTCCCACATGAGCCAATAGAAGAAGAGTGGTCCCAGTGGGAGGTAAATCACGTCCTTTGATGCCACAAAAATATAAAGAAGAACATTGCAGCTGATGTTAATCAAGATAAGTACATTTAGCCTGTGACTGTCAACAAAACAACACAAACATGTAAGAGTCTTACTTTTGTTCAGCACGGTTATGTCCATCTTTGAATTCAATGATTAAACTCTTAGACCGGTCGCTCTTCATGGACACACAGCTGGGTTCAGGAGAGTCTGGTCTCTGCTGATGGAACCTGGTATGAGACCAAACACAGAGCTATGACAATACCAGCACTACAGCAGCACCTCTAGTTTGTTCTATAAAGTCCAAGGCATCACATGGCTCACAGTTATTACTGGGGCCACTTTGCCAGAATAACTGCAGCTCAGCAGCAGGGAGCTTGGTAACAGTGTCTGCATCATATCCAGTTTTAGGCTACCTGAGTAAGAATGTTGGACCCTGACACTAATGTAACACAACACAGGGAAGCTATTGGCAGAGTTCATGTTAACACAGACAACACCCTGTCAGCAGTGTTCATAGAGACTATTTCTTTGGTAAAACTGTCTGTGAAAGCTGTGAGCAGCAGAAAAGATCCAAAACTGACTGACTGAAAGATTCCACTAGACAGAAGAGGTTTGTGATTTAGTTGGACTCACTATCTAGACCACTGCCCTGCTGTCGGTTATTGATTTGTTCAGATATTTGTCCCTTTTTGCTGCAGTTAATTTTTTTGTGAGAAAAGAGAAAATTAAAGAACATGAAAAAAAACCCCATACATTCTCACCTTTCATCAGCAGAACATTGTCCATTTTTGAAGTTTATATGTTTTTCCATTGACCAGTCACTTTTCATGGACACACAGCTGGGTCCAGGTACAGGTCCAATAGCGTCTGGTCTCTTCCTTGTATGAACAAAGAACTGACAAATCACTTGTCAGTAGATTTAATACATATATTTATGTGCTGGTGTCTCTGGTAGTGAGTTGTCGGCTGAATCTGCAGTTTCTCTGTATTACAGAGTTTTATAGCAACTTTCAGTTGTTGTTTATCTGTCTGGCTGCAGCTTTACTGTGAGCAGCTTAAAACTAAATTTTATTTACCTCCACTGCCCTTTAAAAGCAACAGGATGCTGCATCAACTGGTTACTATTCACGGACACACAGCTGGGTCCAGGTCCAGGTCCAGGTCCAGCAGAGTCTGGTCCCTGCTGCTGCTCTGGGCTTCAACACAACACACACAGAGCTTTGAGAGTGAATAATGATGGTGGAGTGATTTGAGTCCTGGACAGTTAGAGATCCTCATCTCACCTCTGAGCTTTGGTCTGGCTGTCATGTTCCCCACACAGAGTGCTTTTAGAGGGAGGGACTCCCTCCTCTCTGTCCTCACACTGATTCATAGCAGAGCCCACACCTTCACACAAACACAACAACATGCTGAGAGAGCTGCACTCATTCATTACAACAAGCTTTACATCTCAGATCATCACTGCTCTCTACCACAGTGTCATTCTTCATTCCACCACCTGATGGAGCCAAACGGAAGACATTATTTCAAACATTTCAACTGTGGACAAAAGAAACTACATTAGATTCATTTCTGTACAGCTGTGCAGTCTTCAGAGAAAAAGAGAAACTGTCCCCAAAACCTTAAAAAGTCCTTTAATCTGAATAATTTACTTTCATCCTGAACTTCACCCCAAAGAACAACAGAAAAAGGAGGTGTGGTGAGAAAATGAAAATATAACTTTGTACTATGTTGCCAGAAATGTAAGTCTGATCTCACTGAGATTTAAAACCTCTTTTTCAAGAGAGACCTGGCCAAAATGGCAGCATATTAACAATTAGGATAAGAACATGTTTGTAAGATATATACAGACTCGGGTATGTGTCATATTGAGGGACTGTTTGATAACACATGCAGATAAGGCATGTATTTAGAATAATAATTTAATAATTATTAGGCTATAATTAATTAAATAATGCTGTATATACGTGAAGATACTGATGCAATAATGTTCTTAAATATCAGGATAAAAGCTGACAACAGCTTCTCACCCCAAGGAGATTTTAATAATTAAATAATTATTTAGCCGAGCTTTTATCCAAAGTGACTTATAGCAGCTATATGTGTCAGAGGTCGCGCGCCTCTGGAGCAGATAGTGTCTTGCTCAGGGACACATCGGTGGATGTCATGGTGGGAACCAAACCCAGATTTAACTCAGGGTTATTAAGCAAACTCTGCTGCTGCTCTGGTGTTAAACGATGACGGCGAAAAAGATGTTAGTTGAGACGGTGGGAACTTTACTGGAGTTGGTGCGCGTTCACATTTCAGGGGCGTGTTCGGTCCCGCAGTTTTTCATAACGGCCAAGGAGACTTATTGGCAGCACACTGAGCACATCTGGAGTTATGTTCACAGCGTTCTTCTTGAAATTCTCTGTTTAGTAATAGAGCCAGGGGAGAGGGGGAAAAATCCGAGAGGAAACTCAGATTAAAGTGGTAAATTTAGTGGTGAAATGATCCCAAATAAAACCAAGAATATAACCTGCTCGGTGCAGTTTAGAGATGCAGGTTAAACTGCCATGACAGCTTTTCTCGGGTAAATCTTATTCATCTTCCAAAATTACCTGGATAATCCAGTCAGCTCGCTTCGTAGTTTGACCTCCTCTAGCAGATTGTTCCTGAGCTGCAAACGCCCTGTCCCCTCTGGATTTCAGCCAGGTCTCTGGAACAAACCAAAACCCGAGGCTCTCCAGGCACGAGCTGCTGTGCGGGTACTCGGACCATGTAAAGCCTTAAATGTAAAACTTTAAAATCAGTTCTAAAACACACTGGCGCCGGAGTAATGAGGGCGTTGTCGGTGTGTCCTGTAGCGAAACCACCGAGGACGCCTTAAATCCTTACCGTACGTCATTTGGGGGAGGTAAAACAAAATGTGTGCTTTTGGCTACCCTGAACAGAAAATCCAGCTGCAGGAAATCTGATTCCTCCCAGACACACTGCACAGAGCGTGATGACGTTTTCTTGAATGGAATGACACAGTCTCCTCTGGATGTTCCTCGAGTGAGGCGACTGGAGTTGGACCTTAAACTCAGAAACTCACTAAGAGGTGGAGGGGCCAGCCCATGAAGGATTTTATATGCTAGACAGATATTTGTGAACTTAATAAAATTTTCCGAACTTAATAAATTATATTTTGACAGAATATTGCAGTGGTAAAAATGACATGGTTTCTTATCCAAAACTTTAAGTGTTTGCTTGTATAGGGATTGTATTGGTTTTAAAGTGGTGTGGTTGGCCTGAGACCAGATGGTGAGGCAGTAAGTCATATGCGGAAAAAATCAGTGAATGCATAAACATTTTGGCTGCTCGGGTGGACATTGAGTTCCTGATAAATCAAAAATTAGACTTTCTTGACAGTTTTGGTGATATGAGAATTAAAATTAAATTTGGAGTCTATGAGAATACCAAGATACTTAAATTCTTTAACAATTTGAAGTTTTTCACCACATATTACAATGTCCGGATTTGCTGTGGAGTTGGTAGTTTTAGTAAAAAACATACCAACTGTCTTGGAGACATTTAACTGAAGGCTACACTGGTTTAGCCATTCCCTGATCTTTACCATAGCGTTTGTAAGTTTAGTTGCCACTGATGTTTTTGATGGCCCATGTATGTATAGAACTGTATCGTCTGCATACATTTGAATATTTACTTCTGGGCACACACATGGTAGGTTGTTAATATATATATGCAAAACATAAGAGGGCCCAGAATTGACCCTCGGTGCACTCCAGTGGGCAAGTGAAGAGGTTCAGACTGATAGCTGCCAATACATACGATTTGTGATCGTTGATAAAGATAAGATGTGTAATGGGAATTCCAAACATATTGCATGTAACCCTGGACTCAGGGAGAGTCATCTCTGATGTGGCACTGAATCTGTGGAAACGTAACAGTCAAAATATCTCTGTTCTCTGTGTTATCCAGACTTCAGGGACAATATGTCTCTGTGGGATGATATTATTGACCCTAAAGCTGGATAAATAACAGGCTCACAGAGCTCTCCTCACTCATTCGAGCATACATGTACACGGCGTATGTGTTTTGCTGTGAGTCCTTCTGCAGAAGACTTGAATAAAATTCACAGAAAGACAACTGTTTGCCTGAGCTGTTTATTTAAACACACAATTCCCACCACAATTTTGGCGTTGTCGGGTCGTTACATGCGTGAGAGGACTCGTAAACTCTGAGCTGCAGGTGAAAAACGATGAATTCTCCAAATATTAATTACATGGCGACTACTTATGGTTTGGGCAGTATTGACCAGCTGGACATGTGGGTTAAACAGTGTGGTTTTCCAGCGACTGGCAGCTTCAACCTGAGACAGTCAGACACTCTGAGGGTTCAGTTAGAGAAAAAGGAGAGGGAGAGAAAACCTTTAAAGCTAACTGGGCCGCATATTCAGCATGGCTGAGAGAGGCGAGCCGCAGGGACAGAAAACTACAGGCAGGGACCGACCCCTCTAACAATTCTGCATCTCAGTGTGTCAAACTAGATCCGGACCTGGACTCAATTCCCCCGCGGCCACCTCGGCCAAACCTGCTCCGCCTACCGACCAACCTGCAGCTGGAGCAGCAGCGGCAACTCAATTGAAGATACAGAGGAAGATACAGAGGTCGGGGTCGAGGAGTCAGAGGCAGAGGACGTGGCAGATCTGATGCTTGTTACATCTGTAAAAAGCACGGACACTGGGCCCGAGACTGCCCAGAGTGTAACAAAGCTAATTCTTGCTAAATACAAGAATGATGCATTTCAACACATGCCTGAACATATAATCAATGTGGCAGGGAAAGATATCACATTTCTAGTTGACTCAGGAGCCACAGAATCGCTCATTAGAAGTCAAGAATTTCAAACTACTCCAAAAATGAGCGCTGGATGTCTGAGGACAGTGGGGGTTTCAGGGAAACCTCGGTTGGAGAGATTCACAGCAGCTTCAACATGCAGTGAGGAGATTGAAAAACATTTCAAACATTCTTTCTTGCTGTCAGACGACTGCCCTGTGAATCTCGAGGTATGATGTGTTTGTTGGGCATAATTCTGATTTCCACTCCCAAGGGGGTTGTGGTGGCCAGAATTTCTGAGATGGCATCACAGTTTGTTAAACAGAGTCAAAGGGAGTTACAATATGTCTATCAGTGGAAAATGCCAGAGGCAGCAGTGAACTCAGTTAATCATTCCTTACTCGCAGAGGTCAAGACACTTTTCCATAACACAGACACTCAGACAGACTTCATGTCCCCGCAAGAACTAGACTGCAGGTCACACGAACATCTTGGTGCTGATACGAGCTTTGAGAAAGAGTGGATCAGAAAACATAGAGATAAGAACTCACTGAGACTGAACTGGTTGTATTGGAGCAATAACAGATGTGCTGTTTCTGTTGTTGTGAATGACCCACACTGCAAAACTCTGTTTCAGATTCCTAACTCAGTTCCTCATGTCCCTCTGGTCAAAGCTAAACATGACAGGTGGGAGGATTTAGGACCCTGGGTGAGAACATGCTGTGAGGCCGGTGGGTGGGGAAAGACGTCAGACACAAAATGTTGACTTTCAACAGGTAAAATATTTTCTTTGTAGTGAATGAGGTAAGAACTGAAAACAGATTTTCTGATGTCAAATTTGATAACCATGAGATAAAGCCCTCTAAGAGATTAAAAAAAAAAGTAATGACAAACAAATCTTTGTGAAAGACGTCTCTAGATTTAACTCCTTCCTGATGATGGCCATGAAGCTAGCAGATCCAACCTGCAGTCTGTTTCTGAATGATATTGTTTTGGGTCATGTGATCACTGCAAAAGGGAAAAAGAAGAGCCCTCTCACCCCAAAGCACATTGAAGCATTTTAGACCATCCTAAAATGAGAGGCAAAGAAACAGGTAAATTAACTTTTTATGGATGACAGTGTTCACATTAAGGCACCATGGGCAGAAACTGCACATGGGGAAGGCCTGAGAGTTTTTTGCTGATTTAAAGCTGGCTCTTCAGTCTCCACCGACCCTGGGGGGTACATGACCTCAGTACTACTACAAGACCATGGGGGAGGACTGAGACATGGAGCTTATTTTTCATCCAAACTGGACTCTGTTACTGCCAAACTGCCTGAGAGCTGTGGCGGCTGCTGAAAAAGCAGCCATGGCATCACGTGACATTGTGGGTTATTCAGACTTGACATTGTTGGTTCCACATGCTGTCGATGATTTTGCTTGAACAAAAAACATCTCATCTCTCCACAGCCAGGTGGCTAAGATACAACACCGTGTTACTTGATATATCTAACATTACTGCACTGTACTGAATCCTGCTACTCTCCTCCCAACTCCAGGTGAAGGACAGCCGCATGATTGTGTTGCAGTCATAACAGAAGCCTGCTCCCCAAGGACAGACTTACAGGAGACTCCTCTAACAAACCCAGACATGGAGTTGTTTGTGGACGGATCAGCATCACGTGATCCAGCAACTGGTAAACATAGAGCAGGTTTTGCAGTAACAACTTTGCATGACACAATTTTTGCAAAACTGTTCCCTTCAAACTATTCTGCACAAGCAGCACAGCTAGCTGCACTGCATGTAAATATGCAAAGAACAAAACTGTAAATATTTTTACAGACCGTTATTCTTGGGGTGTTATTCACGATTTTGGGAGATTGTGGGCAAACAGGAAGTTTTTAACATCCACAGGCAAACCTGTCGCTCATCACACACTGGTTGCTGACCTACTTGATGCTGTACTGTTGCCCAAAATGATTGCTGTGTGTAAATGTGATGCTCACACGAACAAACTTGATCTTATCTCACAGGGGAATGCCAGAGCTGACCTTGCAGCAAAGGCTGCAGCAAATCACACACTAACCACCCAATGTACTGTTTTACCTGAACCACCATTGACTTCTACTGCTGATTTGCAGGAATTACATGCGAGAGCTGTTTGGAAGAAAGCAGGCTGCACATTTTCTGACACAGTGTGGTATGGGCCTGATGGGAAGGAGAAAGCATTAGTGGGCTCGCAGGTGGACCGGGCCATTTCAGATCCTGCTAACAACAGAAACAGCAGTAAAAGTGGCTGAAAGAGCAACTTGGATTCACGCCACCCAAAGCAACCAAAATGTCACGGTTTGGTGTGGGTGAGGCAGGGTTGAGCAGGTTGGAGGACCCAAATGCAGGACGCAAGGCAAAGGAGGTACAGTTCAAGGGGTTTTACGGATCCCAGACGTTCCTTCAAAGCAAGAACCAAACTGTCCCAAAACAAAATGTCCATGCAGCCCCCGGGTGGGCGGAGGGAGGACTGGAGGAGGGCCAGAAAAAACAAAAAACCCACAGTCCAAGGAGCAGACAGAAGGGGACCAGAGTACAGGGGGGAGGTCAAACAGGCAGGGCAAGGCAGTTCAGGAGGCTGACCGAGGCATCCAGAGGGGAACAAAAGTTCAGGGGGTCGTCCCGGAGGGTGACCCATGAGGCCGGGCAAATCAGGGGGAGAACAGAGTTCAGGAGGCCGTCCCGGAGGACGACCCAACAGGCCGGGCAGAACAGGGAGGCAACAATGTTCAGGAGGTCGCCTGGGAGGACGACCCAACTGGGCGGGAGGACCAGGGGTTCCACAGAGTTCAGGTGGCCGTCCCGGAGTACGGCCCTGGAGGCCGGACTGTTCAGGGGGACGGCAGGAAGGCCAACAAAGAGGCTGGAAACCCACTGGAGGCCAAGCGGGAGGCCGACGGCAAGACCTCTCCGGAGGTCGGCACCCAAAGCTCTGGTGCTCTGGAGCTGCAGCTGGGCTGAGGTCCACGAACTGAGCAGCTGGGCTGAGGACCACTGGCGAGACAGCTGGGCTGAGGACCTTGGACCGGACACGCAGAGCTGGAGTCGGTCTGACCACCGACGAGGGAACAGGAGTCGGCTGGGCCACCAACGGAGCTGGTG